TTTTCAAGAGGACTTACGTAGATGCAGTTTTTTTTTTAAGTCATGTAGGACAGCAGGAAGAGGGAAACATGAAAGAGGGCCAGCAGGAAAGCTGGGCTGAGCTGCGAGCAAAGCTGGGATCAAGGACCTCACCAACTGCAAAGGGCACCGATAGGAAGGTGGCAGTGCCAGGCCAGCAGGTGGCAAATCCCCAGATGCCAGGCCCCACCGCAGCCTTCCTGGGTAGGAGGGGGATGAGGACTGAAGGGCAGAGCTGAGTCAGAGCGTCCAGGTGACAAACGCCCCCAGGCTGGGAGCTCCTGACCCTGGTGGGGTGAGGGGAGCAAGATTTCAGCTGCCTCACAGGGGAGAAAGCTGGGCAGGAGCCCCTGAGGGGGGGACCCCATCACGCTCAGGTGGCCGCTCACGGGGGTCAGGGCCGAGGAGTCCCTGTTTGTGCCGGTGTGGGTAGCAGGGCAGGGAGGGTTTCAGACACCGACATGGGGCTTGGAGCCAAAGCTGGGAACAGCTCTCAGCAAAATGCCCCTGTTTCATGTCTCAGACTGACTTGGAACTCCTTGTCACCCACTCCTCTCTGTTCTCAACAAACCTTTGAAAGAGGGCTTTCCTGGGAGCTCAGTGGGAAAGAATCTGCCTGCCAGTGCAGGAGACGTGGGTTCTATCCCTGATCTGGGAAAGTCCCACATGTGGCAGCTAAGCCGGTGAGCCAGCACTGCTAAGCCTGTGCTCTGGAGCCTGGGAGTCGAAACTACTGAAGCCCTGATGCCCTAGAGCCGGTGCTCCACAACAAGAGAAGCCACGGTGGTGAAAAGTTCAGGCGCTGCAACTGGAGAAAAGTCTGTGCAGCAGCGAAGACCCGGCACAGCCAAAAATAAGTTTTAAAAACTTAAAAAAAAAAACTTGAAAGAAACAGCTGCCCCCATTTTACAGATGAAGAGCGCAATGTGGTTAAACAACTTGCCCACGATCACAGTGAATGACCCTGGAATGGGGGTGGGGGGGGGCTCTGTCTGTACCTTCTCCAAACTCAAAATGGATAATTGGGTCTTGATACTAGATTTAAGGGGGGCTTCCCAGATGATGCTAGTGATAAAGAACCCACCTGCCAATGCAGGAGACCCGGGTTCAATCCCTGGGTGGGGAAGATCCCCTGGAGGAGGGCACGGCAACCCACTCCAGTATTCTTGCCTGGAGAATCCCATGGGCAGAGGAGCCTGGTGGGCTACAGTCCATAGGGTTGCAGAGTCGGACATGACTGAAGTGACTTAAGCACAGCACGGCGCTACATTTGGTGGGGAGGGAGGGGTCTTTCCAAACCACCATCAGGGAAAGCATGATTCCCCCAGTGGTCCCTGCCCTTGGCAGTCACAGCAGCTACCTGGCCTTCACTGGAAGGTGGTATTTTCATCACTGCACCCACCTGCTTCCTCAGCAAGAGCCCCACTGCCAAACCCTCTGCAGTCACCGCAGGGATGGGGCAGGTGGCTCAGGCCCAGCCAATCAGAGCAAGGAATTCCTCTGGCAGCAACAACAGATTCGGAGCCAACCAGAAACAACAGTAAAGCTACAAAAGACACACACTCGATAAGGCCTTTGCTGTGGCTACCTTTCCCGCTGGGCCTACTGGAGCCGCTGTGGCCACACCGCCACCACCAGGGATAAGCCACCTGAGAAGGGGGACCACACAGAGAGGAAGCTGGCTTCAGAAAAAGACACGAAGCTCTGAGGGCATCATTTGAGCTCCCAGATCCAGCCATACCTGACACTAGCTCTTTTTTCTTAACTTCTTGAGCCCATTAATGCCCTTTTCACTTCTGCCAGTTTTGGTTGCAAGTGGCAGAAAACCCCACCTAGACTTGTGGCTGGCACAGTAGTGCTGGAGAAAGAAGTCCCACACTTGACTAGGCTGCCAGTTCTTCAGGACCCTAGACCACATATTTCCTGCCCTTTAGCTTGACCTTCTTTCAGCATGTTTCCTCATCAGTGCCATCTTGCTTGATCTCCCAAGCTCCTCTGATTGTGTTCAGTTCAGTCCAACTCTTTGAGACCCCATGGACTGCAGCAAGCCAGGCCTCCCTGGCCATCACCAACTCCCAGAGTTTGCTCACACTCATGTCCATCAATTCTGTGATGCCATCCAACCTTCTGATTGTATGGACCCCCTTTATTACTTTTAGGCAGCCAACAAACAAACAGCCTTTCAAAGACTGTTCTATGGAAAAAATAAAAATAATAATAAAAACAAACAAATGAAAGAAATCTAAATGACCCCAAGGCAAGAAGAATATGATGGTCCCTGTGATGCCCTCTCTAAAGCCACCTGGACTGAGAGGAACCACTGGGCCCTGGGAGCGGTCAGTCGGGGAACAGTATGCCAGGGGAGGCATAACCCCAAATAAGCTAAAGGGGTGCTGACAAACCGTGCACTTTTCAGTCTCTGCCCCAGTCACAGGCTTCTGTCTCGACTCAGCCCTCCGTGCTGTGCTAAGTCGCTTCAGTCATCTCCAATTCTGTGTGATCCTAGGGACTGTAGCCCCCCAGGCTCCTCTGTCCATGGGAGTCTCCTGGCAAGAATACTGGAGTGGGTTGCCATGCCCTCCTCCAGAGGGTCTTCCCCACCCAGGTTTAGACCACGTCTCTTATGTCTTCTTTCCTGGAGAAAGAAACAGCAACCCACTCCAGAAATCTTGCCTGGAAAATCCCGAGGACGGAGGAGCCTAGTAGGCTACAGTCTATGGGGTCACCAAGAGTCGGACAGAACAGAGCGACTTCACTTTCTTTCTTTCTTCTTTGTCTTACCACTAGCGCCACCTGAATGTTGAACTTTAAGCCAACTTTTTCACTCCCTTCTTTCACTTTCATCAAGAGGCTTTTTAGTTCCTCTTTGCTTTCTGTCATAAGGGTGGTGTCATCTGCATATCTGAGGTTACTGATATTTCTCCCAGCAATCTTAATTCCAGCTTGTGCTTCTTCCAGCCCAGTATTTCTCATGATACACTCTGCATATAAGTTAAATAAGCCAGATGACAATATACAGCCTTGACATACTCCTTTTCCTATTTGGAATCAGTCTGTTGTTCCATGTCCAGTTCTAACTATTGTTTCCTGATGGGGAAACAGTGGAAACAGTGTCAGACTTTATTTTTTTGGGCTCCAAAATCGCTGCAGATGGTGACTGCAGCCATGAAATTAAAAGATGCTTACTCCTTGGAAGGAAAGTTATGACCAACCTAGATAGCATATTAAAAAGCAGAGACATTACTTTGCCAACAAAGGTCCATCTGGTCAAGGCTATGGTTTTTCCAGTGGTCATGTATGGATGTAAGAGTTGGACTGTGAAGAAAGCTGAGCGTTGAAAAATTGATGCTTCTGAACTGTGGTGTCGGAGAAGACTCTTGAGAGTCCCTTGGACTACAAGGAGATCCAACCAGTCCATCCTGAAGGAGACAGGTCCTGGGTGTTCATTGGAAGGACTGATGCTGAAGCTGAAACTCCAATACTTTGGCCACCTGATGCGAAGAGTTGACTCATTGGAAAAGACCCTGATGCTGGGAGGGAATGGGGGCAGGAGGAGAAGGGGACGACAGAGGATGAGAAGGCTGGATGGCATCACCGACTCGATGGGCATGAGTTTGAGTAAACTCCAGGAGTTTGTGATGGACAGGGAGGCCTGGCATGCTGCGATTCATGGGGTCGCAAAGAGTCGGACAGGACTGAGTGACTGAACTGAACTGAGCACTATCTGGGAAGCCCCAGGGCTCCTTAATGGCCCAAATTAGACCCACCAGGTGTTAACTCCAGAGAACAAAGCCTGGAAGCAGGGACCGGGAAATTAGAGTGTCAAGGAAGCCGAGTTGACGCGGTGGCTGTGGGTACCAATCTGCCGACCTCGGTGCCGAGGCTGGAGCTGGACACAGTCCGGCCTCAGCAAGGGGCTCAGGCTCCCACCACACTGCGCGGGCCACAGCGCCTTTAAATAGAACCTCCGCGGGTAGGACAAACACATTCCAAGCGCTTTTTAAATGGCCCCAAGCAAGACCTGGCCGGCGGCCTCCGATCCCCCCAGGCATTTCCCGGTCTTGGCGTAATTCTCCAACAAATATTAATAGCTCAGTTGGGAGCTTATGGTGTGCAAAATACTTTCTGGCCTTAAAAGGCAGGATGATTTCTTCTCCCCACTCTCCAGATGAAGAAACTGAGGCCCGGGGAGCTGCCAGACTACGAGGCCAACTACTAGTACAAGCCTCCAGGCAACGCTGCCTCCATCGTCCGAGGTTGGGGCTCCCCCGAGGGGCACGACCGGAATGAGCCCCCGCCGGACCAGCTGCCAGCTGCCGTGTCCGGTTCCGACGGGCGCCTCCTGCCCAAGAGGCAAGAACGCGGAACACGGCCAAGGCGACGCCCCCGGGAGGCTCCCCAAACGCGCTCGCTCCCGGAACGTACTGATCTTCTGCGAAGAGTTTAACAAAATCCCAGTTCTCTGTCTCAGCGGGTACATCAAACCCCGCGCGGCATCCAAGGATAAGTTTCCTCCTTTGTTTTTAAAAAGATAAAGGACAAAGAGGCTAATTTCTCCCTCGGGAGATAAAGTTGGCAGGTGAGGCGCAGCGCGTCTCCTTTTCCTAGAAGTTGCGAGCTGGGCAAAATCTCCGAGCCCTGGCGGCGGAGGGGGCGGGACCCCCCGTCTGGACCCCTGAGCCCGGGACTCGGGCTCGGCGGCCCGAGCGGAACTTCTGAGCCGGGTCAGGGAGAACCGCAGCTCCTGCCCTTGGTGTCCCAGCCCGGCTGGATCGCCCACCACCGCCGCGCCGGGATCGCTGGGGGCGTGCGGGATCTGGGGGACGTTAGGGTTAAATGATAACGAAACCCCTGCACTGGCCCCCTCCGTCCAACCCCAAGCGGGGCCTGGGACTCCGAGATACCGACCCACTGCCACCGCCCCCTCCCTACGGGCCTCCGGGTCCCCGAGTCCCCGGGGTCGCACGGCGCGGAGCGCTCACAGTTTGAACATGCTCTCCAGGTCCTTGATGAGGCGGCGGCTGAACTCCGGGAATTCCGAGTAGGGGTGGAAGACCTTGCAGCGGCGGGGCCGCGCCGCGCCCTCGTTGATGTCCAGCCGTCGGTTCAGCTGGGCGCTCAGCTCGGCGTCGGCTCTGGCGGTGGGCGCCCAGGCGGGCGGCTGCGACTGGGGCTGGGGCTCGGGGTCTGGGGCGGCTCCGGGCGCGGGCTGGAGCCCTCTATCCCCTTCCTCCCACTGCAGTCGCCGCTGCAGCTTGCTCGCCAGCTCCTCGCTGGCCATGGCCTCGGTGGATCCGGAGCCTCAGGGGCTGGGCGGACAGCGCGCTCCTGGGCGGCTGGCGACTCTGCGACACTTTGCCGAGACGGCGGGGACCCGGCGGTTGGGTGGAACCGTGGGCAGGCGGGGCGGAGCCGCGGCTTTAAGGAGGCGCTGTGGCTCGGGAACCGCCCGCCCCGGAGGCCACAGGTGCCCGCCTGTCCCGGGGATGTCGACCGGCCGAGCGCGCGCGGATCCTCGCTTCACCCCTGAGCTTCCGCCCGCCCCCGGGGGCCCCGGGGACCCTGGGGTCCTCCGGGAACGGCAGCGGGCGAAAGTTTCACTACCGTTCTGGCGGTTCCTTTCTCGTCCCCCAGAAGTGCCCCGACTGCCGGCGCTCGCGGCCGGCGACAGACTGGGGGTGGGGGGAGCCGAGCGCTCCCGAGTGACACCCGCGCGCCCCCGGGACTGCGGGAGGCACCCCCGCCGCCCCTGGCCGCGAGGTCTGGGGGGGCGGGGGGAGGCGCCCTCAGGGAGCGCGGGGAAGGGCGAGCTGACTTTTAAACACTCGCTGTAAAGACATGTCTCCAGAACATACTAAAAATACTAAAAACAAATAAGCAAACAGAAAAAAAAAAGCAAGCAAGCAGAGAGGAACTCCTGGCTCTCTTGTGGTAAGACACCAGCGCCACTTTGGGGATTCTGACTTTTTCTGTGAAACACAAGACAGTAAAAAAGAAGCTTGAAAATAAATAAGTCAGCATTTTAATACCATGGTAAAAAAACAAAACACACGTCATTCCCTGCGGAAGGCTGATGTGGATGGCTGTTACGTCAGCCAAGCCTTGAGAAAATCTTGTAAACACCACTCTGCCCCTGAGGACTCCGTTCTGACTCTGTCCTGACTCTGTTCTGACTGCCTGGGGGCTGCTGCCCAGGGCCTGTCCCCACTGCTGGCTGTGGGCACCTGAGACTCAGGACCAGCCTTTGGCACTGGGGTGTGTAGGGCATGAGGGGTCTTGGCAGGGATTCTGAGCATCTGGAGAGGCCTGTGTGCTTATTCCTTCAGGCCTGTCTGGCCCTTTGCCACCCATGGACTGTAGCGCACCAGGTTCCTCTGGCCGTGGGGACTCTCCAGGCAAGAATACTGGAGTGAGTTGCCATGTTCTCCTCCAGGGGATCTTCCCGAAATATATATATATATATATAAAATTAGGGAAAATATTAAATTTTTAAATAAATTGATCAAATAGAACCTTTTCAACATCCCTACTGGGAAGTCCCATACACACACACACACACATATTTAATTAGGGAAAAATTAAGTTTTTAAATAAAGTGATCAAATAAAATGTTTTTAACATCCCTATTGGGGCTTCCTAGGTGACACTAGTGATAAAGACCCTTCCTGCCAATGCAGGAGACAAAGAGACACAGTTTTGATCCCTGGTTCACAACAATCCCCTAGAGGAGGGCATGGCAACCCACTCTAGTATTCTTGCCTGGAGAATCCCCACAGGCAGAGGAGCCTGGTGGGTTATAGTCCATGGGGTCACAAAGAGTCGGACATGACTAAGCTACTAACACACATATACATCAATACTACTGTGCAAATATGACCGATATTTTGTAAAATACATTTCTATACACAGAAGAAAAAAAAAACTAAAGAGAGAGGGGCCAAACTATTATTTTTTAAAATAATTTTATTTATTGCTTGGCTGTGCTCGGTCTTCGCCGATGCAGGGGCTTTTCTGTAACTGTGGCAAGTGGCGGCTCCTCGCTAGTTGCGGTGCACGGGCCTCTCATTGTGGTGACGTCTCTTGCTGTGGGGCACAGGCTATAGGGTGCAGGGGCTTCAGTAGTTGGGGCACGTGGGCTCAGTAGTTTCAGCTTCCAGGCTCTAGAGCACAGGCTCAACAGCTGTGGTGCACGGGCTTAGTTGCTCCACGGCGTGTGGGATTATCCCAGACCAGGGGTCGGACGCGTGTCTCCTGCATTGGCAGGCGGATTCTTTACCACTGAGCCACCAGAGAAGCCCGGGGTCAAATTATTAACCACTGTAACTGCTAGGAGTCCAACCACTTCCGTCAACTGTTTTAGTTCTCACTTCTCTGAATGTTGTACAATGACAACACAAAACTGCTGTAACCAGAAAACAAACATGATTGCTTGTAACGGAGCCGTACAAGAGGGGAGCCGCGGTAGCTGCAGAGCCGTCGAAAACATTTTGCCTGTGTCATCCCACGAGTGTGTTTATTTCACTAACATTCCTGGAGGATGGGTACAGGAGATTTTACCTTTCTTCTGTCCATGGAATTCTCCAGGCAAGAATACTGGAGTGGGTTGCCATTCCCTTCTCCAGGGGATCTTCCCGACCCAGGGATCGAACCTGGGTCTCCTGAACTGCAGGTAGATTCTTTACCGTCTGAGCCATCAGAGAAGCCCCTTTGCATTTCACAGGGGAAATCAAACGTGTTTTACCTCCAGGACTTCTTTTCAGTTCCCTATTGCTGTGTAACAAACCATCCCCAAACCTAAGGCCCAAACAACACATTTACTTTGCTCACAAGTCTGCACTTTGGGCAGACCTTCATGGGGAAGTCCCTTCTCTGATCCACTTGGTGCAAGCAGGGGTAGCTCAGAGGCTGGAGGGCAGAATCCATCTGAAGACTTATTCCCTCCCAGGGAAGGACTGACGCTGGCTGATGCTTGGCCCTTCCTTGGAGCTGTTGACTAGAACACCTACAAATGGCCTGCGCTTCCTCCCAGCATGGTCGCTGAGTTCCCAGGGCGGGCTTGCAAAGAGGGAGAGCGAGGTAGAAACTTCATCGCCTCTTATGAATAGGATCAGAAATCACACAGCTCGACTCTATTGGTTAGAACAGTCATGAAGGAGAGAGGACATACATCTCCAGTCCTCCGGCTTCCTTGGATGGTGGTCCAGTGGGTAAGAATCCGCCTGCAAATGCAAGCATACAGGTTCGATCCCTGGTCCAGGAAGATCCCACATGCTGCAAAGCAACTAAGCCCTTGTGCCAGAGCTACTGAGCCTGTGCTCTAGAGCCTGAGAGCCGCAAATACTGAGTTCACATGCCACAGCTACTGAAGCTCAGGAGCCCTAGAGCCCATGCTTCGAAATAAGAAAAGCCACGGCAATGGAAAGTCCATGCACTGCAACTAGAGCGTAGCCCCTACTCGCCACTAGAGAAAAGCACAGCAAGGAAGACCCAGCACAGCCCAAAATAAAAAATAAAATCTCCACCTCTCAATGGAGGCATGATAAAAATCACCTAAAAATAGTGTGTGAGATGGGATATGTGACACTGTGATCATCTGTCTTCATTTTTAAAATCTATTGATTTTTAAAAATTTCTCATTTTGTTATCTTTTCGTTAAAAAAAAAAAAAATTATTTGGCTGCACCAAGTCTTAGTCATGACACTCGGGGTTTTCGATCTTTGCTGTGGCCCTCGGGATATTTAGTTGCAGTATATGGGATCCACTGACCAGGGATGGGACCCAGGCCCCATGCATTGGGAGCAGGGAGTCTTAGCCACTGCACCCCAGGGAAGCCTCCATTGTGACCATGTTAGGAAAATACAATTTGCCAGTCCTCCCTGTGAAAACGCCTGCAGGCGTGAGTCTCTTGTGGTTGTGGCATTCAGACGAGAACGGGTGTGCCCTTCAGCCTAGATAGGTTGGCACCAGTCTCTCGGCCCTCTGGGAAGCATGGACCTGCAAGTTACTAGGAAGTCAGAATGAACCCAAGTCCAGAAATGGAAAAACGTTTCCAAGTGAGCAGAAACCTGGGTCTGAGTCCATCTCTGGAGGCATTCAGTCCTGCATATCTTGGCATTCTCAACCTCTTTAATAAGACAAAATCTCAGGGCTTTGATTTGTTTTGGAGGAAAAGGTTTTGTCCTTGACGAATGAAGTAATTGTTAGTGTCTGTGCTCTTCCTAAGTCTCTTCATGCCATCTTTCATTGCACTGGAAATATTCTAAAATTAGATAGTGATGATGATTGTACAACTCCATGAATATAATAAAAACCATTGAATTGTATGCTTCAAAAGGATGAAGTCTATGCATGTGAATTATATCTCAACAAATCTGTTCTTTTTAAAATGACAATAATAAGCCATTACCTATTAACATAAATAGTATAAGTGAGAAGACTAACATTGTTTTACATTTCTGCATATCTTTCATCCACACACACACACACACACACATACACACACACACATGTCTTTCATCTCTGCCTTAACAGTAGACTTGGATATCACATCTGTCTCTGCATTAGAATACTGTGATTTGTGCTTTCTCTGAACTCTGTGAAGAAAATCCAGGCTTCCAAAGACCACTGGGAATGTCAGTTCAGTTCAGTCACTCAGTCGTGTCCGACTCTTTGCGACCCCATGGACTGCAGTATGCCAGGCTTTCCTGTCCTTCACCATCTCCCAGAGTTTGCTCAAACTCATACCCATCGAGTTGGATGCCATCCAAACATCTTGTCCTCTGTCATCCCCTTCTCCTTTGCCTTCAATCTTTCCCAGCATCAGGGTCTTTTCCAGTGAGCGGGTTCTCCGCATCAGGTGGCCAATGTATTGGAGCTTCATCTTCAGCATCAGTCCTTCCAATGAATATTCAGGACTAAGTTCCTTTAGGATTGACTGGTTTGATTTCCTTGCAGTCCAAGGGACTCTCAAGAGTCTTCTCCAACACCACAGTGCAAAGGCAACAATTCTTTGGCATTCAGCTTCCTTTGTGGTCCAATTCTCACATCCATACATGACTACTGGAAAAAACCACAGCTTTGACCATAGCTTTCATTACTGGACAAACCATAGCTGGGAATGTAGTTGGATGCATAAATGGAAAAGGGGGGAGTGTTTGTTTCATCTTTTCAGATAATTGTGGTTATCATTTTTCTTTGTTACTACACCAAAACTCCTAAGTGATAGTTTCCTGAAGTTTAATGGCAACAAGGAAGATGAAAGCATCCAAACCTAACTCTCCATACTCTGTTACTTTGAAAGTGATAACACTCTATCTTGCACATTTAATGGGTCCTTGAGTTAGGCATGTTACTTTGTA